AACAAACGGTCAGCTTTTCTGTTTGGTTAACTGGCTTAGTCCATTTTATTGTCCGCTACTTTTTTTTATATTGCAAGTTGACTGTACGCAAACTCATACTGTTCTGGTCACATTGTGTTCCTTACAGGGTATCAGCTTGCTGGATGTAAAAAATCGGGAAATGATTAGTTACATGGCGGAGTTATCGTTGTTGATGAGCCATATGAGTTGTGGGAAGTCGATAAAAGAACACCCTGCAGTGTTCAGAGCTTCCAAACATAGAACGGTGAGTTCATTGACGCTTTGCGCGGAATCTGATTTGTCATTATATGGCGTTTTATTTAGATTTTGGAGCGATTGCGACCTATAGAGCAGAAGATGAAGTCTCAGATTGATAAGTTGTCGCAGGTATGAGATGTTTCGAGCTTTCCTTGGATTTCTGTGACATACAAAGTTGCAGACCGCCTTAAACAATGGGGCAAAACAAACCTTGCGAGCACGACCTGAACAAATGGAGGTAAACACACATCGTCATTTCAATGTTTTGATTCATCAAATGTTTCAATACTTTCCTTTTTTGTGATATTTGCCAATGCATGTTGAATTCTAGTTTGACGATGATGAAGCGGAATCAGATGAAGAGGAAGAAGGTGGAAATCAACCTAAAAAGAAGGAGAAAAAGTATGTTCCGCCGAAAATGGTGGCAGTGAGATACGAAGGTAAATATGTTTTCCCCATTCTTTCCTACTTGTGATTTTTTACTTTTTGTATGTTATATAGGTTTATATTAATTGGAAATGTAAGTGATTACCTGAATTGCCTTTGCAGAGGAAGAGAACGAGAAAGAGACAAAAGCAATGGAGAGAGCGAAGCGGCGCGCTCTACAAAGCAGTCTCGTACAAGAACTTCGACAGCAGTATAGTGATGCTCCAGAAGAATTCCGGGTAAGTAGCGACTATAACTATTGATCATCCATCACTATCCAACAATTTTGCATAATTTATATGTTTCATAGGAAAAGAGTCGAAGGAAGTTTGAGGCGGATAAAGAAAGAGAAAGATATGAGGAAGACAACTT